CTTCGTGCTCTAAATGTGTCAAATTAGTTGTAAAAAATTCAAAAACATGTACTTTTAGCAACTGCATTTATGGAGAAGATTAAAGGTGATTTTGGTTGTTTGATTGCTCCAAATATGAAATGTTTTTGTTGATGAAAATCAGATTTTGGAAGGAAATTTCAGAGAAGATTTGGGAGATTTGGTGTATCATAGAGAGAGTTATATATTTGATGAGAGAGTTATTTTAGGAAATAATATTAGACTTTAGTTGTCTTAATGAGCTGATTGTATTTTAGGTATGTGAGGAATTTGATTAGAGGCTTACCTTGCATGGCGTGAGAGAAATGGATGTAGTTGGCATTTGATCATCATGATCTTTAAGAACTTTGTGATATAAAGTTGATGAGGTGGGTAAAAATGGAAAGTAGAGTATGATAAGAAGATCTGTGAGTTGGAATTTAGTTTACCACCATAATTAAAATATTGGTATGAGTGATCCGAATTTGATATTGGGTTTGATGGAGATAATGCAAAAGTGTGGAGATATTATTGCCGTTAAAAGGAAAAATCAAGAGTATATCATTATCTATCCAAGTTTGACTTGGATTACACGTTAGAAGCATGCCAACTCTTGATATATATTCATAGGTGTGTGTACGTGAAGTTGGTAGCCTTTGGGCTTTTTATGTTTTTAAGGTTTTAAAGTAATTTAAGGCTGTCCTTAAGAAGTGTGCTCTTACAGAGAATATTTGTAAAAGAGAAAGTCTGTGATTAGTGAGCCTTTAAGTGTTGATTTAAGTTCGTCTATCGGGAGAAAGATTAGAAGCTTTTGGGAGAAAGTGCATTGCCAGTCGAAGGGATTTCACTGTGCAGTTTGAAGATGAGTGGTGCTCGTTGGACAAGGCTATTAAGGAGATTCGACACGGAAGCGACAACGTCAATGAGGGAGTCTTTGAGTGTATAAGTCCAATTGGTATCTGTAAATCTTTAGAACTTAGCAGATTGTTCACTGTCTGGGCATGGCCCCGCGGATGTAGGTTGTTGAAAGGAACTGTGATATCATTTTTTGGGTCCTTTAATTTACCTGCATTATTTCCTGCTTGATTTCTTTAACGTCTCTGAGCATAATCGTTATAGTCAATCGTTAGTTTACAAAAAAGTGTTGCAACACTTTCTGGAACACCTGCGTAAAAAACAGACCTTACATTTGGTATCAGAGCGGTTCACTAACTGTTTGCTTGGTGAGATTTTAGGAGTAGATTTGTGATCGCAGGATTGGACTTTCTAATGGAAGAAGGTTCAGTTACACGCCTTCCACTACTTGATGGCACTAAGAACAAAATGCCAATCTTCGGCAACTCTAACAATTCTCAAAAGAATAAAGCTACAGAAACACGCTCAGAATTGAAGACAAAAAATAGAGGAAGTCAATGTCGGGAATGTGATGGTTATGGACACATTCAAACTGAGTGTGCCAATAAACTCAAAAAGAAGAAGAAGTCTCTCAATGTCACCTAGAATGATGAAGATTCTGAAGGCAGCCAAGAGGATGATGAACATGTGAGTAATTACTTTGCCATTAATGTTTATACTGTTCAGAAATTTTCTGGCGACAGTGTCAGAGACAGTGTTGCAACATCTTTTACAATAGATCCTAGAAATAGCAAAGAAGACAGATCCGATTCAGATTCTGATAGTAGAAGTGATGGTGAGGATCTAACCGTTGATGCCATCTAGGACGCTTACAAGACAATATTCAGCAAGTGGGTCAAAGTGTGTAAATTGAATAAGTCTCTGCGGGAGCGAGTCGACGAGCTTGTCAAAGAGAAGAAAGTGTTGAAAAGAGCTGCTATTAATTATGAGTTTCTGGCCACCGAGAGAGGGGAAATTAAGAGAAATAGGGCTGAATTGGAGAACACTCAAAAGGCATTGAATATGATGAATTCCGACATTGCCAAATTGGATCATATTCTTTCATTAGGAAAATCAAGTGGTGATCGTCATGGCCTTCCAGCCAAAGATCGTCCTTCGGGAGAAAGCGCACTACCAGCTGAGCGCACTGCCAGCCGAAGGGATTTCGATGTGCAGTTTGAAGACGAGTAGTACTTATTAGACAAGGTCATTATGGAGATTCGACACGCCAACAATAATGTCAAAGAGTGAGTCTTTAAGTGTATAAGTCTGATTGGTGTCTGTAATTCTTTGAAACTTAATAGATCGATATTATATATGAACTTTTAAAATTTAAACTTATTTTAGCCAGGTACGACCAGCAACAATATATTCAGCTGTCCATTTCTTCAAACAATATCATAAAACACCTATAATGTATTGCTGACAATAATATATATATATATATAATATTGATGGTGACACCTTCATGATATGTTCATAGCAGAAAAGGTTTGGGTTTTGGCTATTACTTTTTTCCATGGAAACATGGAAGTCTTCTTCGGATCCAAGAAGCCGCAGGGGAATTTTTTAGTCAACTTAACATCATTGAGTTTGAGTTTCTATGTTATTTCCTTTTGTGTTTGATTAGTTTCCCAATTTTACTATAATCCTGAACAATTAGAACCTGAAAAAGAAAAAAAAAAAATAGTAACAAAAAATCGCACGCACACAATTTTTTTTTTTTTTTTTTTTTTGGCAAAAACACACAATTTGGACTTGTTACGCGTATTCTCAACAGTAACAGTAATTGTAATAGTACTTTTTGAAACGGTTTTTTTTTGTTTTTTGATAAGTACATAATATATTTTTTTTGAAACGATGAGGTATGAATATAGCATATTTACTCATAAAACATGTATTTAATTGACGTAAATAATTTATTTACTGATAAATATTAATGTAAATAATTTATGTATATTTAGAAAAAGTGTCAAAAAAATACGTAAATAATTTATTTACTGTCTAGTATCAGCAGCCCAACACAGTCTTCAGCCTACACATAATAGAGACCATGATGGAAACTTAAGTAAAAGGATTATTTTTTGAGGAAATTAATCGCAAATATTCTAAGGATAATTTCTGCAGCCAAAACATTAGGGATAAACAAAATATAAAGGAGAAATAAAAACCAAGGATTACCTGCTTTGACACCATATAAAGAAACCAATTTTATCTCTTGCCCTTTTTTTCCGCAGGCTTAGATTCGTGGATTTGAAAATTACAATAAGTCGGCATCACAATTAACTCATTAACTTGGACATCATCAAAAATCATTTGAAAAGGAGCTTTTTCTCTTTCTTCTTTTCTTTTTGGCTTGTAATTCCATAAAGATTATAGAGCTTGTGTTGTAGAGGTGGACCATTATTGACTTTTATATTATGGTAAAAACATATTACATTAGGGCACCTTTTGTACACTGTAGTGTAAGTTTATGATATTATATTAAGATCTCGTTCAGTTCACGGATTCAAATTTTTAATTTGAATTGAGATGTGATTTTACGTGAGAACTTTTCACTGTAACAGAAAAAGTTAGATGTGACTTTTTGTGAGAGCTTTTAACTGTAATAAAACTAAAATTAAAAACTCAAATTAGTGAAATGAACAAGACCTAAGTATTGTAACCTACAATATTTATTGTGCTATGTAACTTTTATACAATACGGTGTTTCGTTCTTAGTATTAAATTATTAAATTACATTATACTATGTTTACTACCGTATTGTATTTAGGAATTAATTTGTCATCATATAAAATTTAAGCTTAATTATAACGTAGCTCGACTCTAGTCTCAATTCAAACCCAATATTGGGAGCATGCAAGGAAGAAGGTAGAGTTGTTCAATAGGAATATTTTTGCTAAAAAAAAGGGATTAAGGGACAAAATTATAAATTTTAATAAAAATTTGGGGTCAAATACAATTTTAAAAAAGTTAAGAGGTCAAAATATAATTTTTAAATAGTTGAGGGGTTAACATATAATTTTTAAAAATATAAACCCAACATCGATTGGGTCTCAAAATTCAACCTAGATGTTGGTTTCGAAACCCGATCCCGATCATTGATATTTGTAAAATATTTTATATAATTTGTAATAGTATAAAGTTAAATTGTAGTCTAATACATATGATTTTATCCATATTAGATATCACAATATATATTATATTAAATTGAATTTCGTGTTAAACTATACAATATATAAATGTTGTCAAGTATAATATTATTCTTAAATAATACAATACGGATTGTTTATAAAGTGTACTAACTTTGATTGGCCTCAATAATTAGTTTTTCCCTGTTTTCATTTATTTTTATTGTGAAACATATATATATATATAGTTTGGAGTGAAACATTTTACATAAGACATATTCTTTAAGTTCAACACTTGCATGTGCTTAAGATTAGTTAAGAACTTCCACACTCCATATTATATGGTAGGAGCAAATATATACAGCCTACTCTTACCTTGAAACAATAAATCCAAGTGTTTATTTAATTATTTTTCATAGTAGAAAAAACGAATCATAGTTCCTACATAGGAGGCATAAATATTCCACCGGAGGCTCCACTACTATCCCTACATCTTCCTAATAAAAAATTAATTAAGGAAGAAATATAACAAAAAGTTATGCACGTTATGGTTAAAAAAACACAACTCATAAAGAGGGGTAAAAAAAAAAGAGAAAAAAAAAACCCCTAAATTGAACAAGTGAGGCAAGAACAGAAGACATTTAAGGAGAGAGAAACACATGTAAGTCTCTTTTCCTTCCAAGATTCTTTCATATGTAATTTTATGTGAAAATTTTATACTGTAATAAAATAATAAAATGTGATTATTTATAAAAAAAAAATTAATTAATAAAATTTAAATCACATTTTATAAAAAAAATTTAATTAATAAAATTTAAATTTTAAAACTCAAATGGTAAAATCGTGCCTTAATCAATCCAAAAACTAAAAAACAAAAACCAAACAGAAACCCATCACTCAATTATTCCTGAAAAAAAGTAGTACTACACTACCTCCTCTCTCTTTCTCACTCTCCCTCTCTCTCTCTCTCTAGAGCTCTCTCTCTCCTCACACACCTCCAAAACCAAACCAAATAAATCCCACCCCAAACTCACATTCTTCTCTCAAAATCCAAAACCTCAAAATCCCATGCCAATGCAGAAAGCTTCACAAGCTCCTTCCATGGCTCTTAAACTTGTCATACTACTACTACCACTTCTTGCTACAACAATAACCACTACCACTTCTTCTTCTTCTTCTTCTTCTTCAACAGCCAACAGAATCTCGTACCCCAAGTTCCAAGACTTAGACGTCAAACAAACAATCTCAGGCCTAAATACAAAACTTACTACGCCGTCCGAAGACGCCACCAACGTATTCGAATACGACGATCTTGGAAGCGAAAACGGCACCAGGAAATGGAAGCTCAAGCTTGTCCACAGAGACAAGCTGTCCTCGTTTACATCTTCCATGAACAAGAAACTTGATCATAATCATAATCATAATCATGATAATGATCGTCATCGCCGGATTTTCAATGAGCGAATGAAGAGAGACGCCCATAGGGTGGCCAGCTTAGTTCGCCGGTTGGCTAATAGTAGTAATAATTCACGAATATCCGGATCCGACAAGTACGAGGTCGAGGATTTCGGGTCGGAGGTTGTGTCGGGTATGGATCAGGGAAGCGGGGAGTACTTTGTTCGGATCGGGGTGGGGAGCCCGGCGAGGAGCCAGTACATGGTGATTGATTCCGGTAGTGATATAGTGTGGGTCCAATGCCAGCCGTGCAGCCAGTGCTACCACCAGACAGACCCGGTATTCGACCCTGCCGACTCGGCGTCCTACGAATTTGTCTCCTGCAGCTCCGCCGTTTGTGACCGGCTCGAGGATGCCGGCTGCAACGCTGGCCGGTGCCGATACGAGGTGTCGTATGGCGACGGCTCCTACACTAGAGGGAACCTCGCCCTTGAGACTCTCACCATCGGCCGGGCCGTGATCAAGGATGTGGCAATCGGGTGCGGGCACATGAACCGAGGCATGTTTGTTGGGGCTGCGGGTTTGTTGGGTCTTGGAGGTGGGTCCCTCTCGTTTGTTGGCCAGCTTGGCGGGCAAACGGGCGGGGCGTTTAGTTATTGTTTGGTGAGTCTGGGCACTGGGTCGTCTGGGTCGTTGGTGTTCGGGCGTGGGGCTTTGCCCGTGGGTGCCGCGTGGGTACCCTTGATCCGAAACCCACGGGCCCCCAGTTTCTACTATATTGGGTTAGTGGGTCTCGGGATTGGAGGTACTCGGGTGCCCATCTCGGAAGACATGTTCCGACTAACGGAGTTGGGTGACGGAGGAGTTGTGATGGACACTGGAACTGCCGTGACTAGGCTGCCAACGGCCGCCTACGAGGCGTTCCGTGACGCTTTTCTTCAACAAACCGCCAACCTTCCTCGGGCCCCCGAAGTATCCATTTTCGACACATGTTATGACTTATACGGGTTCGTGTCAGTTCGGGTACCGACCATATCGTTTTATTTGTCAAGCGGGCCGATCCTAACCCTTCCAGCAAGGAACTTCTTGATCCCGGTGGATGACGTGGGCACATTTTGTTTTGCTTTTGCTCCATCCCCATCAGGACTATCCATTATAGGTAACATTCAACAAGAGGGCATCCAAATTTCCTTTGATGGAGCTAATGGGTTTGTAGGATTTGGTCCCAATGTCTGCTAAAAGTAAATATAAATTTTGCTAGACTTAGTTATAATATATATTTTCAGTTAGTATCTTATACTATATTGTTATATAAATTATTCCTTAATATGTTAGATGGGGCTATGTTGTGTGAATGTTACATGAATTATAGGCTTAAGTTGTTCTTCTCACCTAGTGAGAAGTAATGTGAGTAATAGCTTTTCTAATTATTATATATCACGAGTTTGGGAGAAAATAATGCAAACCTAAAGTTTTGATTAAGCAAAGGGATTATATAAAAAGAGTCAAACATTCCCAAGAGAAATAGAGAAATATCAAAGAGTGGTCAAAAGAATCACAAAGGGAAAAAGGTCTTTTATTAGAGCAAACTTTTGTGTTTGTGTAACGTGTTGATCCAAGAGAACCCTTTTACCTCTAAGTGGAAATAATGCCATTTTTACTGGTGGGCTTGGTCATGACTCTGACGTTACACTTAGTTTTTTTTTTTTTTTTTTTTTTTTTTTTTTTTTTTTTTTTTTTTCTTATCCCTTCATATGAGAGAGAGATGAGATCTTTTCTCTGGAGTTTGAATCATTAGACAAGGGAGCCACCACCATTGTAGACATGTGAAGCAATCACTAAGGGGTTTTTGGTATGCCTTTGGTGTGACCTAAGTTGGAGTGCATTCAAGCAATGACTTTTACAAAGGCTTTTTTTTTTTCGCTTTTGTTCTTTTTCTCCTTTTGAGGGAATTGATATTAATAAGAATTACTTTTTGCCCTTTTTTTAAATTAAGTAGATTTGGCAGAAAACACAAAAATTTTGGTATCTCATTATTCCACACCTTCAACAGAAGAAGATATTAGGGATCTAGGATTAGCACTAGTTTTCCTCTGTTCAATCACCCCCGAGGCTTTACATAAGCACTTTTGAGGGCCCACAAAAGCAAGAATTTCGTTCGTGAAATTGGTGAAAGGAAGGGAATCAATCAAGAAAAAAGCATTTGCAACAAGCTTTGCTCAGAAATTAGGATCAGTTTGAATATACTTTGCCATATTTTCACACTCTTTTGGCAGTACATTGCTTACCAAAGTAGATGACAACTCATTACTGCAACGCAATTTGTCCCTTGCTTGTCTCTCCAGTCATAACCCAATAAATCACCCAAGATTGAATTGTCAACTTGTTTAACGGTTCCATGGACACACCCATCTACAATATATATATATATATATACTCTTTTAGTTTTTCAAGGTCTTTCCGATTGACTTTATTGCCCAATTAACTTTCATATATTCATGGGCAGATAATTACGTTTCATTGTGTGCCTGTTTCTTCAGGTGTGAAATTCAACATGCTTAAAATTGAAAAGAACAAAAAAATGACTGGGTTTACTTGATAAATGAATGTTCGATAAATTAATAATCTCATACTTAAATAATAAAAACTTTCATTTTGATTTGAGTTAGTGTATTAAATTAATCTCACTAATCCTTTAGGGCCCCACAAAAATATAAGTTAATAATTGAAAAAAATATATAATTCATAATATTAAAGAGTTTTTTTCTTAACAACTTCTATTTTCTCAATTCAATATATATATTTTTTTTTTTTACAAAATATGCATCTAAAGTCATTTGTTTTTTTTTTGTACCTAAATTGAACTCAACCTCGTCTTTAATTTTTTGCAAACTATGCACTAGATCTGATATATTTTTTCATGTTATAGCAAGTAGTTATTCAAAGTTACTATTGCTTAAAACGCTTCTTTTGGAGAAACATTTGGTAAAACACAACTGTCATATGGATCATGATCATCATCAGCAGGCATTTAAATTTGAAAAATACATTTATCGTATGCTCAAGTACTTATTAACCTTCATGTTAAATGTACATACAATATGCATCAATTTTGGGCTTATATACATGTACATAACAACAATTAATTTTTTTTTTTTCACAATGTACATAAAAACTTTTGCAATCCTCTATGTACACATATTAATTTTTTACCATATACTATTATCTTTATTATTTATAACTCATGCATGATTATTGGTAAAAGAAAAGGTACGAGTAAAAAGTAATAAAAACATAAAACTTTTTGTAAATTAATAAATTATTCATTTATCGATAAATAAATAAACTATTTAAAATAATATTTTTTTTAGTCCCAGCAGTCTATATTATTTATACAGGTTTTACTGTATTTCTTATTATTATTAAAATGAAAATGGAAGGGATTTAACTGAAAAGAAACGTGTCTACAAAGATTTTAAAGTTGATGATGTAAAATGTAATTTTGTAGTGCATCAACAATCGTCAAGTGAACGACCAGCGAAATAGTATTATAACAGAATGTACTTAATTAGGTAATGCTAAGTCAAGATCAATACACAGTGGATGGTCATGGGATTCTCTCTTTTCATGCAAAAAATTGTCTGTCAAAAGCTTTTATCTATATATTATTTTAGCTGTTTGAAAGCTTTATCTAAATAATTCAACACTTGTGGGCTATTATTTCTAACCTTTTTATCCTCCATCATGAATACCAGAGGACAGATTAGTTAAGGACGATTTACCAACTATTTCACATCTAAATAAGACAATTTAAGACCCGTTTAATTCGCTGATTCGAGTTGAGATGTGACTTTATGTGAAAGCTTTTTACTGTAACAAAAAAGTTAAATGTGATTATTTCTGAGAGCTTTTTACTGTAACTAAACTCGGATCGGTGAAATAAATAGAGCTGTATTGTTCCATTCCTCTTTGTGCCCATCAATAAAAAGGAAAAGGAAAACGATATATGAGTAGAGCTATTCAGGACCATATTTATATGTTTACATGAGTAAGACGTACATAAAACACTATATTATACGTACTTGTGGACTATATATGAAAATAGGAAGCTCCGTCAAAGAGGCCTATGTATTAGTTTTAATTTATAACAAAGCTGAAAAAAAAAAAAAAAAAAAAAAAAAAAAAAAAAAAAAAAAAAACATAAACCATGCATCTGAATTGTTGTTCAAACTTTTTTCATACAGTGTTTTCTCTTATATAATTTAAATTTATGTTCAACCTAGTTTAATTAAACTTGAACTATGCCAATTTACCAACGACCAAGATCTTTATGATTCTGCGAAACAACCCATATTTGGTAAAAATATACGCATAAAGAAACAGGGCAGCAACCATCAACAATTGTGAGCAAGAAATTTATATATTAAGGAAACCTTTTCAACTCAAGTTAGAGTTTTGACATATCTAATAATCTACCATGTTCATGTAACAAAATGTACAACAAAATGTGGCGCCTAGTGTTCAGGGTGGGTCCTATATTCGGACATATTACAAGACATTTCCAGCTTGGTGAATGGTACAAATGCTGAAAAGCAATTTTATTGCAAAAGTGCATGCTAGGATTCAATTCTAATTAAGAGACAAGTAAATAAGCTGAATGTTTACCTTGATTTGAGTGGACATCACCAGCAGCATTCAGGTCTGTGTCAAGTCGAGTTCGCCCTTTTTGGACCTTCAATCACTTTCATGTGAGCCCATAATGCGATGTAATCACGGGCAGTCCTTGGACTTCATTATGTCCCAGAAATGTATCTGCTAGGATTTGCCTTTATTGTTTTTGTCTACCAAGTTCCACACCAGTACGGAAATCATATAAATATTTGTATCAGAGAATATATCCCGAAAAACCAATCATTGCACAAGATAAGGTTAAAGAACTATGGCATTAACAAAAGAAGGTAAATTACACATTGTGAACGTTTTAGTATAACATAGTCATATTTGCTCATAATATATACAGGTGCCCTTTGCATGCTGTCTAACAGCACTTCAATGGGGACAAAATTGCCTTCTTGGGCGTCAAAATCTAAACAAAAGTTGAGCGAGCTACCATGTAAATGTTCCTAAATCAATCTGTCCACCGGCGAGAACACATATATCACGTCTCCTTAACATCATATTTGGATGCTCCGAAAATGTATGGTTCTAGACAAAAATTTCAGTATGCAAAAGTACCAACGGCAATACGGAAAAGCAGCAAACTGGAGACCATCTTTAAACCATAAATAGATATCTGAGATCTTCTACTGTCAAGCGAGTTACAGACCCCCCACCATGATCTTCACCGAAAGCAGAGGCAACCATTTTTCTTTTTTCTTCCTGAAAAGAAAAAATAAGTAAAGTAGATGTTATATTTTACGCTTCATCTGTCTACGTGCATGTGCAAGTGTTATATCTTCTTAACCCTACTAATAAATCTTGATCCTCTCCGAACTCTGGACGTTGCCTTACAAAAATTATTGTTGACCCTACAATTGCAATTTCATAACTTGTTGCATGTGGGCTTGTTATCCCTTTGACAGGCCAAAGTTGGGTACTTCTTTTTGGTTTAGGCCCGCGCGTGAAGGGGAAGGGTAGAGATTTATTAAAACTATTGTTAGCCCACCTCCTAACTTAATCTTTTGGAATTGGTAATCTAACAATATTAAAAGGGCATTGGGCGTTTAGGTTTGCTTTCACGCCTTTTACAAGAATATTCACATATGAAGAAACGCAGATAAAGTAGTTTACTAATATCTAGAATAATGGAGGCAAAATCTAATGACAGTCCTTAATAACCAATCAACCAAAACACCAAGCACGGTATATATGGGGATGAGCACTTATGATGACCAAATCTAATAAACCCATCATCCAAAATAGCACCATGTAATCATCACTTACAGCCAGCAGCCAGCCACAAATCCAATGATGACGGCAAAAAACTTAACAATATTACAAGGACAAGGACTAGTACCTGGAGAGCTAATATCCTGTCTTCAACTGTATCTTTAATAGTGAGCCGCGTTACAGTAACAGGACGAGTCTGTCCAATTCTATGTGCCCGATCAACAGCCTGATCTTCGGTTGTCGGATTCCACCAAAGATCCAAAAGAATGACATGACATGCAGCAACCATGTTTAGGCCAAGATTTCCTGCCTTCAGCGACATTATCATAACAGTAACCTGCAACATATTCAAAAATTCAAAGGTTAGCATAAAACATTATATAAAGCCAATACTAAGATTATCTCAATTTGCAATGAAAAGGAACAATATGGATTGCGATGACATCTAGCAGAAACTGCAGTGAAGTCCTATTGACAGACGTATTACAATGAGTTTTTTAATCTAAGATTTCCAAGGAGTACCCAGCCTACAACGTATGAGGGGGAATAGCAATGGTGGCGATTAAACATGTAAAAAGCAATTTAGATTTTTTATGCAGTATCATGGTAAGGCCAAACCTCTGGGTCATTGTTAAAATCTTTGACAGCCTTGTCTCTTGCAGCCAGACTCATAGTGCCATCAAGTCTTCTGTAGTGCATGCATGCTTGATTCAGTGACATCTCAACTAAGTCCAACATGCTAGTCCACTGAGAAAAAACAATTGTTTTTATTGGTCCTTCATTTGGCAAGTTTGAGAATGTTGTTGTATGCTTTACAACAGTAACCCCTGAGTGGGAACTATCGGCAGCTTCTTTTTCTGAAGAATTTCCGTTGCGTCCAATATAGCCACATGAGTCTAAATCGGGGCTGTTTGACTTGCAATGCGATTGCAAAATCTCAAGCACAGCTTTGACTTTAGATGAACTGTAGTCTGTCTGCATTACTTGCATTACAAGTGCTTTATCAACAAACTGCGAATTCTCTGGACTACCATCAAGATCATCAGAGATACAATTTCTCAGAGTAGCCTTAGAAAAAATCACGTCAGAGCCGATTTGTTCCTTGCACTCAGTAGCAGGGCACATATTGTCATCCCCCGTCAAATACTCCGATACACACTGATAGCAGAAAACATGGCCGCACATCGTAACAACAGGGTCCTCAGGTGGATCCTGTTAACAGCATCAAATACAAAAATACTAAAATTAGCTACATTAACGACATAATTATACAATTTATGTTCATTCATGCTACTTGTACGACAGCTACTAAGATGAGCATACACTTAAAACAAGAATATTTAGCATGACCGTAATAAATAAAAAATACAACAAAGGAACTTATCTCCTACAAAAGCACATGTTATATCTGTGTCACAGGGGAGCAAGCCCAGAAACAAACTAGGGAGAGGTGTAAAATGTAGCTCAGAAACTGACCATTATAGTTTGGTTCTGAAATTAAAATAGCATTGTCCAGCAGACTCCAAGAACCAGCCTTAACAGGCAGTGGAAACTTTTAACATTATAGATTGCCAACAGTTAAAACAGAATTGCAGAACCACAGCAGAATGATTTATGAAGGATGCACTCGTACGTTTTGATTGGCATTCATCACTAGTTTGACATACAGTGATGATTGGCAATCATCACTGTATGTCAAACTATTGAATGATTTAGTTTAACATGTCTCAAGTTTGTAGTTTGTCCTTAATTGAAATGTGAAGTCTGAAATAATTTTTGTAGCTTTTTTTTGTTTCTCTGGAGGATAACTCTTCCACTTTTTTTTGGTACATAATTTTTTCATTAATAGATCTCTTACGTTTCTTTCCCAAAAAACAAAAAAAAACAAAAAAAAAAAAAAAAAAAAAAAAAAAAGAAAGAAAGAAAGAAAGAAACAATAGTCTACCAACTACTAGCTACAAATGGAGATAATTAATTACAACAAACAACTAAAAACTCTAGAATCTTCGACACTTCTCATCAAGTTGGTGCTAAGATACTTTGCACAGCTTGCTTATCAACTGTTGATCCGCCCTTTGGAGAGAACATCTACCAGTCAACAGTGAGAAGGAATGTAAGGAGCACAAAACAACCCTGATTCAATCTTCTCCCTGATGAAGGGTCTATCAATCTCCACATATTTAGTTCATGTTGAACAGGATTGTGCACAATATCTATTCTTGCCGTTTTTATTTTTTTTTTTTTTTTTTTTTTTTTTTTTTTTTTTTTTTTTTCCTCCTAATAAAGTTTTGTTTCTTCTCAAAAAAAAAAAAATTTTATTTTTGCCTCATTGTCACAATACAACACCATAGGACCTTCTACTCTTATTCTCAAGCAGCCAAGAATTATCTGCACCCAAAGCAGCCCACATATTCCTTGAGCCATAGCTCATAATTCCGCTTCTGCACTCGAGCACTCCACAGCCAGTTGCTTCTTGCTTCTCCAAGTGACCAAATTTCCACCTAGGAAAGTACAACATCTTGTAGTTGCTTCTCCAATGGTTGACTTCTATTGGAGTGTCGCCTCGAGTGTACTTTTATTGTGAGATGCAGATCCCACGCAATCTGGCAACTTCAATTCCTAGGAAATCTCAAGTTCCCTAGGTCTTTGATTTCAAATTCCTTTGCTAGATAAGCTTTCAAGCCAGTAATCTCATCATGATCATTACCATTGCAATATATTATCCATTTATACAATTACGGCTCTAGTCTCCCCTTTGCAAAAATCTTAATGAACAGAGTGTGGTCTCCTTGGCCCCGAGTATAGCCACGATTTAGCATTACTTTCGTGAAGCGACCAAACCATGCTCGAGGTGACTGTTTCAGACCATAGAGAGATCTCTTTAATTTACACAACTTATTCTTTTTCAAATCTCCTCAGAACCCAGTAGGAATATCCATGTCTACTCCCTCTTCTCTCCATGGAGAAATGCATTCTTCATATCAAGTTCAAGTTGTGGCAACGGCCATTCCTTTGTTGCCGCCATGTTTTCCACAAGTCTGTGTATCCTTTTGCAACAAATTTCGGCTCATATCTTTCTAATGATCCATCAAAATTGTACTTTATAGTGAAAATCCACTCGGCAAGTCCACAATCTCACAAGTTTGATTCTTTTCTAGGGGGCTCTCAGCTCTTCATTCATGGCCTATTTCCATGGCTTAGAGGTCAGGCCTCTGGAACAGAGGCAGGAACCTTTTGAGATAAAGACTATTGTAAGGAAGGAGAAAGATTCTGCAAGAAAACAAAATGGGTGATGGGGTATCGGGTACAGTTCCAAACCCCTTTTTCTCTACGCAATACGAAGATAAGTGGTATCAACAGGAGACTCGGAAATTGAAATTGGAACTAGTTGAGTTTTTTCATTGCCTACCTTAGAGTTGACAACTGAAGCTTGAGATGACGGACCTTTCTCCCCTGAAGAACCTATTGAGCGGAGGTGAGTTCAATGTCTAAGTGTCAGTTTCTTTTTGGTTCCAGTGCATAGATGGCTGGAATTCTTTTAGGGTTCTAGTGCATAATTGGGCTGCGCAATAGTACTGGCAAGATCAGGGCTCAGTTTCAACACGCTCAGTAATGACAGGTTTGGTTTCAACACGCTCAGTAATGACAGGCTCAATTTCAACAGGCTCAGTAATGGCAATAGGATGGGCCACAATAGTGGCATGCTTACACTATTTCCTTAACATCCAAATTCCACCTATCTTTCAACCTTTAGTCAGGCTCCCCTAAAGATAGGCTTTATCAAAACATGATCGATTCTCAACTAGGACAACATCCATTGTAATGTAGAGGATTTTTGTGAGAGAGTGATAACACTTGTACGGCTCTTTTGTGCGAGTATCACAAGAAGAATATCATTGACCCTGGATCAAGTTTGCTCCGAGAACAATGAATGAAAACATAAGCGAGAACTACTTTCTTGAAAGTTTGAAAAGAGTGAGAGTAACTTATTTTCAGGCCACTTGCCATCAAGAATCCCAGAGGGCATTTGGTTGTTGACATAGGCTACATTAAGGACGACAACAATTGTTTTGGTACCCCCATTAAATAAAAGTACTCATGCAACTTCAAGGAGATGACAATTATTTCGTTCTGCACCACCATGTTGTTGAGGTGTGTCGGCGAACGTTGATTGGTGTAAATTCCTTCTTTTGCAAATAGGACATCATATCTTGGTTATCAGATCTCAAAGTTTGTAATGTTAGCTCTATATTGGGTTTTGAAGAATAGATGGAATGTGGAAATAATAGCCAGTATTTCGTGTTTATTTTTCATGAGGTAGACCCAAGTTGTCCTAGTGCAATCATCGATAAAGGACTAAAGGTTACGTACCAACAGGAGCTAGAAAAAATTGGTGACACGAGATAGACCCCATACATCGAAAGGAATTAAACTAAAAGGATAAAACTATTAAGTTTGAAATAAATCTTTTACTCTCAGTATCTTGAACAATCCAAGGATAAAACTATATATATACAAGTACTAGCAATCTACCCACTACTATCTAACTAGCTATAAACGAAGATAACGAATTACAACTAACAACTAAAAACTCTAGAACCTTCAACAAAGTGCATGAGAATGTGTGATGCTCTGGTTAATGCATTACTAATCAACTTAACTCGAATCCAATAAGTTGCCAAAAGCCTTGCGGAAACCTACTGTTAACGAAAATTCAAACCAGGAGTTTTAAAGTGAATGAAACAACAGTAAAGAGGAAGGTGAGGGAGGCCAAAGAGAAACAAAAATAATATGTTTTGAGACTCACTTCGCACTTACGACAGATACCAGAGGAACCTTCCAAAAGGCTCAATAGATTGATAAGCATGTCTTGAGGAAGTCTTCTAGCCATTTCAACAGAATCTTTACCAACACAATCAGAATCATATTCCTTCACAAGAAATGGGTGGTCACAAGCCTGCCGAAGACGCAAAAGCATCAAAAGAATGTTTGCATAATTCTGATTCACTGTGCCTGCAGCAGCATATGCCTGCAATGCATAAAAGATAACATCAATAACATTATTTCTGCAGCCACGAGTTGAAGATTATGCTATCAAAATGATTTCTTCCATTTCCTAGTTACACATAGATCACCTGCCCACATAATAATAATAATAATAATTTCAATATTAATATTAATTTCAATATCGTATTTGTCAATTATCATCCAATAACAAAGAAAAACCAAACATAAATTTCTTTGTTAATTCAAAGCATACTAGTTGAACTCCTTACAGAAAAGGATATAATTAAACAGAATATAATAGACCTTGAATCGAGATCGTGAATCAGATTCGAGCTGAGTATAGAAAGCTCGCTCCTCTGATGAGAAGTCCACCTTATTCAGTCGTACTGTTTTTGGTGGTAACTTAATTATGGGCTCCCCATTAATCAATGTTCCTAGACATAATAACGAAAGATGATTAGCACCAATGGGGTACATGTAACTAAGTAATCAAGTTAGGCTAGCAAATGTACGTGAGGTCACATCATATGAGCTTCAAATTTATGTATGAGAATTGAATGTGTATGCATATAACGACAACACTGTCAAAAAGTCCATAATAGGAAAACAAATAAACAACATAAAAGTTATGTATGGGAATTGAAGAGCATGAAATCACAGAGGAAAAACATGAAATGACAGACAATGCTGCAAATAGCCACACAAAATAAAGAGCATGAAATCACAGAGAAATAAACAAGTAAAAACCTGCAACGCTAAATTTAGATATTAGGGGAACATGAGCAATATTCATATACATCTCTTCCCGAGCCAAACAAAATAAAAATAAATAAACTACATGATTGAACTAATGCTTAACTCAACAAGGCTTGATACTCAGTGGACATTTAAAAGCATGTTTTCTTTTCAAATTCTTGGATTTGTTTCTAATAGCAGAATTTTTGGTATGAATCACGGGGATGAAGAAGGTCAACTCCAATTTTTTTTTTTTTTTTTTTACCAAGAAAAAACCTTTTATTGATAATCATTAATTAGGAAGGAGTGTGAGAAATCCTCAGAGCAAAATAAAAAATTAGTAGGTCTGAGAATACAACACAGTAACATCAAAGAGTCTAAAGTAATCTATCTTCCTATAACATCCTGCCAATTCATGATTATTAGTGATAAAGGGAACTCCTTGAAAGCCTTATCTGCTAAAGCCCATAAAGAAGCTAAAATTTTGACTCCAAATGATGCTTAAGGTCATTTACTTCGCTACTGTTTTGAAAGAAAATTTAGGTTGTTCACCATAACTCACTATGTCTGTCAACGGTGGCCAACTCACCCTGTATGCTAATAAAAGAATTTAATGAAAAAAAGAACGAAGATACAAGAATAAAAGAACAAAAGCGAGAACACATACGGTATGAATAAAAAAGAATGGCACTCAGAGTATTTTCTTTAATCACGCTAACACATTAAATTGCATAACTCATCAAATGCAAAGAAAGTAAAACAACGCCAATCATACATAAATAAATTAATAAATCAATAAAGTACAAAATTAAATATTGACCTTTTGTTCGACGCAGCATTATAGCCCTTAGAACTGCTTGGAGCTTCTTGTAACCTTGGACTGCATTTCTAGATATTGGAACCTTAATTGTGTTGTAAAATGATTTATACATAGCATATGGGTCGTATTTCAGAAATCTAAAGTAGCTGTATAAATCATCAATGGTATTTTGTATGGGTGTACCAGATAAGCACCACCTCCTTTTGGCTCGAAGGCTACAACAAGCTCTAGCCACTTGTGTTCTGTGATTCTTAATTGTCTGAGCTTCATCTAATATCACTCTAAGCCAACCAACTCTTGCAAGGGTACCACAGTCATAATCAACAACAGAACTATCTGTTCCCTTTCTACCTTTCTTTCCCCTCTTACTAACTGTGGAAGTCTTCTTCTTCCTCTTATTGAAGGAGAATTCAGAAGATAATCCATACTTTTCGCCATTTTTTTCATCTTCATCTTCGTCAACTAAAGGTTGTTTTGGCACTTCATTGGTTACAATAGCATATGTTGTGACAACCACATCATACTTGGCCAATTCAGAAGGATCCTTTGTCCTGCTACCTCCATGATAAACTAGGACAGACAACTCTGCTCCCTCTGCAACCTTTTCATCCAGCTCTCTGGCCCATTGGCGGAGGACACTGGCTGGACACACCACCAACGTACCCGCATCCGGCCTCCGCTTACTGAATACTCTCGCAGAGGTACTAACTTCTGGAATTGGCTTAATATCATCAGATTCTTCAGTCTTTTCAACTTTAGCAGAACCAGCATTACCATTATCATCATCGTCGTCATCTATATTCAAAGCTACAGTCTTATGATTGCCTAAATCCTCTGACTTAGATTTTGACTCCAAATGCCTCTGCATTTGTATGAGCGCAATCATTGAGACTGTCTTGCCAAGGCCCTGAAAGATACGCATAGTGAGTCTAAGTTAGAATTATTAGACAAGACAAGCACTACGCCAAATATAAGGGTTTAATAGACTCAAAGCTAGTAACCTGGTCATCAGCTAAAATTCCACCCAAACAATGCAAACTTCTAGTTTCTTTCTGAAGCATCCAGGCCAATGCAATTCTCTGTTAAGTAAAACAATCTTAAGTAGAAGATCATCTAATCACGAAAAAGAATTGTGCAATTAACACAGCAAATAGACTTGTACCTGATGTCTAAGGAGAGGTACAGACAAAAGACCCTCAGGTAAAATGGCTTCACCTTTTGGTTGATTAAGATCCTGCAAAAACCAAGCCTCTTTAGCTACACTGCAATATGAATAAATTTTCCATAAATCCAAGATGGAATTGGTAAAATGCACCTTATCAAATATACCAAATGACTTTTTCATTTTTTCTGTAATTTAAAGCAAGTTCTAAGATCTATTAAGAATAAAATATTCTCCAAAACATACTCTTTTATAATATGTGAAAACACAAAAGTAAAGCCAGCACTCTTTC